GACTCTGGCCTGGCCTGCCTTTGAAAAGGATAACTGGAGTGAGGGAGCAAACTTTCAACTGAGAAAAGAACAGCTGAGGACAAAGTCAACGCCAAGGCAGGTGAAAGGAAAAGGGGGGAAACTGTGGGTCCTGAATGTCATGTTGTGTCTCTGACTAATCAACCCTAAAAAGAGCTGCCTCTCTATTTCATGAGCTAAGACCGTTTTCTTAGTTAATAAAACTTCTTTTTTATTGGGTATTCTCTTCCCTGTCACCAAAACCATCCTGATACAAACACACTAAATGTTCTCAGAGATAAAATGTCCCAAAACGGCATGGGCTCAATACCTGTTAATCTGCTTTGTCAACCTGGAGTTCCTTCTAAATATTTCTCCTCCTCTCCAGCCTAGAATAAATGACACCACCTCTGAAGCCTTCCCTGATACAGTCCAAGTCAGGAATCATTGATCCTAACTCTGTTCTCCTACAACCTATTACTTGTTTCTTAGTTGAACAGTTTAGCCACCTAGATCATTATTTCTGTACACATCCACCTTGCTGACTTGAGTGTCCTACTTAAGAAGGCAGGGATGGCTCTAGCTGGATTGGCTCAATGGATAGAGTGACAGCCTGTGGACTAAAGGGTCATGAGTTCAATTACGGTCAAGGGTTGCAGGCTTGATCCCTAGTCCTGGTCGGGACACGTGTGGGAGGCAACCAATCGATGTGTCTCTCTCACATCAATGTTTCTCTCTCTGTCTCTCCCCATCCCATCCATTCTGTCAAAAAATCAATGGAAAAAAATATCCTCGAGTGAGGATTAACAACAACAACAACAAAGGCAGGGATGATATCTTAGTCATCTTTGTTTACCCTTCCACCAGTGCCTTCCAACTTGCACTTAAATAGCTAAGTCTGTCTTCCACAAATGTCTTCAACAATCTTTTAAAAAATATTACAATAAGGAGCATGAACACATGAGTCTTCCAAGAAAGTAGATAAATAGACACAAAGAGCAACACTCGATCTCAGTTGTTCACAAAGAATTAGAAAAAAAATAATGAGGCACAACTTTACATCTTTGGAAGTAACGAAAATTTAACCTAATGATAACCCCCAATGCTGGTGTGTAAATGGTAAAATTGGCAGTCTCATATTTCTCTTAGTCTTAACTGATAACAATGTTTTTGGTAAGCAATGCAGCAATAATATTGAGAGCCATTTAAATGTCCAGTCACCTGACCCCACAAAGCAATAATCAATAAGAAAGAAAAGTGTATATTAAAAAACATGACCAGCCCTGACTGGTTTGGCTCAGTGGATAGAGCGTCGGCCTGCGGACTGAAGGGTCCCAGGTTCGATTCCGGTCAAGGGCATGTACCTTGGTTGCGGGCACATCCCCAGTAGGAGGTGTGCAGGAGGCAGCTGATCGATGTTTCTCTCTCATCGATGTTTCTAACTCTCTATCCCTCTCCCTTCCTCTCTGTAAAAAAATCAATAAAATATATTTAAAAAAAAAACAAAAAAAACATGACCAATTAAAAAAGTACATAAACAACTTAAATATACCTCTGCCTAGCTATACTGGAACATGATTAACATTTATGTTCCCCCTAGAACTGGCTGGGTTGGTTTATTTTTTTCCCTCTGCTTCTTTAAATTTCAGCTGTTCTGCCAACCTGGGTTAGATTTCAAAGACCCATGTTCTAGAATCAATTAAAAAACTTACTGGCCCTGACTGGGCAAACCACTCAATTCTTGGCTTCATTTCTCTTCATTTGTAAAATGGTCATTTTGCAGGGCTATTGTAGGGATCATATTAATTAATTCAATAAATATTCATTGAATTCCTAATTTGTGCCAGCTAGACACTGGGAATAAAGAAATCAAATACTTGTCCTTGATTCTGGTTGGGAAAGAGAAAGACCAACAGTGGAGAGAGAGAGGCCAAATTCAATAACAAGTGGTAAAGGCTGAGGTCCGGGTGGGCAGAGAGGAGCCCGTCAACCCAAGCGGCATGAAATGCAGGGCCTGTGGGAGAAGGCTTCCTGGAAGAAGCAGTAAGTAAGCTGAGTCCCTAGCAGGCCAGAGATGGGAACCGGATGGCAAGGAAGGCGGGGCCAAGTCAGGGTGTAGGGCGGAGAGGCAAGAGACAGACAAAGCTTGGAGACCTGGAAGATCACGCCACCTTCCCCAGAAGCAGGGTGGCTGCCGCAGGTGTCCTTGTCGTGGTGTGTGGAGCACAGGAGCGGTGGAGGGGCTGTTTGACAACCCAGCAATCCTTGTTGAGTCTTCAAGACAGTTTCTTATCTCTAAACTGAGGATAATAAAGATGGCTACCTTGAAAGGTGGTTGGGAAGATTGAGTCAAATGAAGTTAATAGAGGCTAAGAGCTCAGAAACCCCCTCTGCTTGTCTAGGGGAGCCCTGGGGCAATTCTGTTCAGGGGGGATCTGCTGGGGAAGCAGGCCAGCGAGGCGTTCTCTATACTCAGGAGGGCTCACAAGAGCAAAGACAGCCACATGGATAGGACCCTGCAAGGCAAACACACACCAGGGGACACCACAGCTCCAAAGCACAGGTGGCACTTGAGCTGGCCTTGAAGAGATGGTCAGGGTTTTTAAAACAACTTTGTTTTCTGTTCGCAAAAGTGAGACCTGTCCATTTTTTTAAATTTGGAAAATATAGAGGAAATAGAAATCGCTAGGTATCCAAGCCCATTTCAACAGAGAGAACGATTATTAACTTTTTGTCCTATGTACCTATCCTTTTTCATTGTTCTTTCTCACACCCAGGCACACACACGGACCCCTAGCTTAACACCAGGGCCGGGCAGCACATCCTGGATTGTCACCTTTCCAGGCACAGGTGAGACTGGGAGAAGGACACTGAGAGAGGGGGGCTCCAGGGGAGAAAATGGGGGAGGAGGGACTCTGGGGCCATGGGGGACAGCACCAGCGTGCCATTTGGCTGAAGCCAGAAACAGTTCTCATTCTGGGATTCCACGGCAGTGCCTTCAATTCAGG